CTGAGGAATACAATCAAGGAAAAACATATAAAATCAAACATTAAATGCGCAAGAGGAATGAATGCTTTCATTCAAAACTACTAAGGGCCAAAGGCTCCTTAGAGGAATAGTTCGGGTTGGTTTGCAAAACACTAACCTGCATTTCAAGGAAGGAGAGAGGGTTCTGCAATGGGGGGAGGCTGCCCCAGAGAAGGCTTGTTGCCCCATGAATTTCATCAAGGGGGCAAATGCTCCACAGGTTCCCTCTACGGAGCCAAAGCAGGCAGACTGGGCTTGCGCAAAGCTTTCCTTGCTCCTTCCTGGTGCTGCCACTGGAAACCCAGAGTGCCCGCCTCTTACCACTCTTCCCAACCAGGGTTGGCAAGCCCTTAGCTCTCCCCACTGCTCCCCACATGCACCCTCAATGGAACCCAGTGCAAAGATCACCACCAGGAGGCCCCACTTGCTTTACCTCCTTCTCCAGTTGAGCTCCGGTGGATGGTGGGACTTGTCCCCGTTGACCTCTCTGGATGATTGGAAGACTGGGTTCACCCCACATGCTTTATAGGGCCGGTTAAAGGTGCCATGGTGGGATTTGCACAAGATTGGCGTTTACGGCTGCGTGGGGTGGCCATCGAACCTGTTTGGCTAGCTTACGAGTTAAAGTACTGTGTGATCTCAGAAAGCAGGTTAGTTCAGGAGAAGTCAGGCTAAGACTGTCATGTGAACAGGGCCTTGTCTCGGCTGGCTTGACAGAACACGGCAAAGCCCAAACCCAAGTTAAGAAGCACCATTGCCGAATTCTCAGAACAGCTCTGTTCAAACCAAGAGACCCTATTACAGCTTAGGATAAAATCCAGCATCCAAGAGGCAGGGGGAAACAAGGGTGGGGCACGTGACCTTCTAGGCATGACGTCATGTGGCAAACGATGCAAACGATGGCATCTATGTCATTTCCCCAGCAGGGCCAGGCTGGGCATGATGTCACCAGGGACATCGTGATGGGTGGGGTGTCATCTCCTGAAGGCCTCTGGGGTGAAACCACCTAACCCAGTGGAGGTTTACCCTAGACCGGTTGCCAACCCAGTCTTGGGGAGATGCAACCTTGTTTGCTGGGGGGCCCCCCTGTGCAGAAGTCACGCTTCAGAGGCCACCCCAGAAAGAACCAACGGATCAGTTGAGCGTCCAACTCTCCGCTGCCCTCCTGTCGCTCCTCACCCCGGCCCTGCCAAGCTGACCTCCTCCTCCTCCTCGGTTCTTCAAGCCCCAGGTAGCCTTGCCTCACGGGGGACTCACCACCTGCTGCTCCCGAGACACGTGGGTGGGCGTCCTTCGGGGCTCGCGCTATTTATAGCTGCGTTTTGCACAGATTAACACCCCCTCAAGGAGAGGTAACCGAGTCGCAGCCCTAGAAATAGATCAAAAGGCGTTGGATCGCAGGCAGGCTAGCGGGGTGGGCCAACACCCTTCTGGAAGAGCAAACCCTTGTGGGTTGTAAACCACAGTTTATGGCTTAGGTTATGAAGACCCAGCTAATTCTGGCTTACTTGACAAAGCATTTTCACACTGTTGCCTGAACAAGCAACAGCAAATACCGGCAGAGCCCTCTTAACAGGTGTTGGCGTTGCATGTAAAAAAAAAACCCTGCAGATGGCACCATCTTGACCTTTTTGACTGTATCTGCGGACACCCCTGCCTCTTAACATACTAAAAGAGCATCACCTGGTGAATGACCTTTCTGCAATGCTTTGCCACCCCACATTTCTCTTTATTCCAGGCTACCTCCAACGTGCTTTCATCTGGATTCCTCTCTCTAATCGTCCCAGAAACCAATTCCTCTTCTAGAACTCAAACGCCTCTAGTGGCATTCACCGAAAGAGGAACTCTTCTAAAAAATCTAGGGGGGAAAGTCTACATCTGGATTGGTGTTTCCCAACCTTGGCCAC